TCTCGCTGGATGGCAGCACAGCCCTCTGTTGCTCACAAGTTCATCAGTGCTATCTCCTTTGAGTAGGTGCTGGCAGTAGACATGGTAAAGTGAAGGCTAAGACATAATGAAAACAGGTCAAAAGAAAAATCAACAAGTCCCTCCTCCTCAAACACCAATTTGGGGGACAGTAAACTGCCTGATGTTCCAGAGGCTGAATATCAAAGCAGAATACGAAATACTACAAATAACTATCATTTATTCTGTGGAAGAGGTTAGAAAGCTCAGGAAGATTTCTGCAGAAAGTTCCCACACAATCCAGTGCCACCACCTGAAATCCCAGTGCTTCATTCCCAGTAAATATACATTAATTCCCCAAAAAGTTCTGGACAATCCTGAAAATTTTAACCCACAAAAGATCAATTTGACCTCCTGGGCTTGTGAAAGTCACAAGCAACTGGTGCCACTTGAGCCTGGAGAAGATAATGCCTAAATTAGGGAAGAAATTTTCCTTTCCCCTCCCTCTCTTCAGCTTATAATAAACTGGTCAAAGCAATCTGGGTACAGAGGTTACTGTCAACCAATGCAAACCACAGATTCCCAAGGGCATTTACAAGGAAATCAGCCAGAAGCCAAAAACTTCAACATCCCTCAGTCAAAAGTAACGTCTTAATTCTGGCAAAATCTGGATTTTGACTGAACATGTACTGGACATGGAGTTTATCAGGAGTTTTCAAAAACCTGTAGAGATTTATCCTACCTGGGTGTCTTCACAGCCATAGCTGTTGTGAACAGTTCTGCAATACCATACATAACCAAACCCCTCTGAGACTGAGATAATTCAATTCACAAGGAATCAGCTCTCAGTAACACAACCTATGTACAAGATCTACCCTCTGCTCCCTCCCACTGACTTCCTTAGAATAAAGCCTAAATTCTTATTTTAGGATCCCTAAAAGGCCTTTTCAAGTCCTGTGAGACAATCACGACCAGCCACGTTGGTGTCTAAAATAAAAATAATTCATGTGTACAACGAAGGTTTTCCTGGTGACCAGCTCTAGGCAGTGCAGAGATCTCTTACAGAAACCATAGACTATTATCATAATCTGCTTTAAACAGAGAATGTATTTATTCAGACTTACCTCCCATAACAAACCTACAGCACCTGCACTAATACAGGCATGTTTTGTAACTACGAACAACATAGAAAGCTTCCAAACTGAAATATTCCTTGAAATTTGCTTCTTAAGACCAAACAAGTGACTGATGTTTGTCCCAACCCATACCACACCATTGGAAATTATCCACCTGTCAAGTGAGGGTCACACATCTATAGGCTCCCCAGCATGAGTCTATACAGAGAATTTGAACACAAAACTTGAATGCTGACAACTGGGAAGCCAGAGTTAAACCAGTGGTACTGAGAACAAGAAAATATGGAGCTGCAGAGAAACAGCAACAGAAGATCCCATCACCAATGCATTTCTTCCTTGTCCTCCTGGTGATGTTCAGAGCTTTTTCACCACCTCACAGAGCTCTCCCTCAAATTATTTCCTTCCACTGATGTGTTTATTCCTCCAGTGCAAGGCTGCTTACAACTCTTGCTACAGTCAGGGCTGTTAAGACGGCTGATGGTTATCCCTTTTTCAGGGGCAGAGTATGCACAGGTCTATCTCCTTAAGAACAAACAGGCAGGCTCCAGATTGGCACAGAATTATACCCACATCTTCCCACACACAAATACTCACCTGGAAAAAGTGAGACTGCCTAAAACCCCCAGCGGTTCAAGGTATTTATAATACAGGAGTCACTTAGCTGAACACTTAATTTAAAACCTATTTCCAAACCTACAGGTTGGTAGTGACTCCTAGGTTCAGAAAATGCTCTTATTTCACAAAGTGATCAGTTTTAGCAAGTTACAATTAAAAAAGAAACATCAGAATGAAATAAGAAACAAAGTATTACCAGGAATCGTTCCTCTTTTTCAAGCCAGCGCTGATCTTCTTCCATTTCTTGTTGCTGCCGTATCAATCTCTCCTCCATGAGATGTGTGGGTAGAACCTGTCCCATTCCTCTTATGTCCAAAGTGCCTGAATCCTACCAAAAAAAGAGTATATTTATTCTCACAACAACTTCAAATTTGTATAAACAGCTGCAAGAACTCACAGATGACAAAAGAAGAGATCTTTAAAACCCAAATGCACAGGAGCGGTCAAGCAGAGCTCCTTCAGCTCACTATAAAGTGAAGCAGAAAGAAACGCTTTCCAAATGCAGACATTTTATCTGCCTTGCTCCCACAGTCACTGGAACCAAAAACATTTTAAAAATTCTGTCTTGTTTCTCAGTAACGCTGTCACTTCATCTATTGCACTTCATTCACGTTGGACAACACAAACAGATCCATCAATTTTGTTCTCTTGGTCTTGAGCAATAATGTAACTTACCCAGTTGTTAAAAGCTGCAAGATGCTTTTTTTACCCAAAGCAAATATGCTTTTCAGTTTTAGCTGACACTTGCAAAGCACGTCACAAAAACATTCTGAAATAAGTTTTTATGCGTCTTAAGCTTACAATGTCCCATATACTACATCCCAATGCAGTCTGGAAATCATTATTAGCAAGTAGTGTATAAATTAATATTTCAAAGAAGCCAAGGGGAGTAACAAGCATCACTGAGATTGTTTTTAGGTAACCAAATTCCCAAGCTTTTGTGAAAACTTTGGCTGTAACTTATTACCAACACTTGCAAAGCATTTATATGCTTCCACCAACACTTTACCCAAGCATACTACAGTTAGTAAGCCACATTTGTCACTTAAATTAAACGGATTTAAGACAGAAGCTGCACAAAGTGAATCTTTGTGGGAGGATAAAATGGAATGAAAAAGTATAAAATACTGGAGAACAAAAAAAAAAGAGAGGTTAAAGGGGGAATGAATTTGTTGTTTCTTCCAGCAGCTCTGCGCAATCACGACAGCACCCAACAGGAAGACAACAGCTGAAAAGCACCCAACAGGAACACAACTCAGGAACAGTTTTTCAGACCAGTTTGTTTTCAGTTCTGGGTAAGTTACGGAAAAGCCTCAGATACTTTAGTTATGCTGGATATCTCCCACAAGAGGCATTTTTGAAGAGTAGTAACATTATGTGTACTTTAGTTATGCTGGATATCTCCCACAAGAAGCATTTTTAAAGAGCAGTAACACTATGTATTTTCACACAGAATCAGAGAATCACAGAATGGTTTGGGTTGGAAGGGACCTTAAAGCTCCCCCAGTCCAACCCCTGCCATGGGCAGGGACACCTCCACCAGCCCAGGCTGCTCAAAGCCCCGTCCAACCTGGCCTTGAACACTGCCAGGGAGGGGGCATCCACAGCTTCCCTGGGCAACCTGTGCCAGTGTCTCACCACCCTCACAGTAAAGAATACAGTATTTCGTCCTAATATCCAGTCTAAACCTACCCTCTTCCAGTTCAAAACCATTCCCCCTCATTCTAGCGCTACCTGTGATACATGACTGTTCCCATCTCTATTAACAGCAATGCTTCAGTAAAGCCCTCTTTTACCAAACACAAAACATTTGTTACCACTAACGTGTGTCAGTTTGTGATACCTCCATGTTTGGCTGCCACACTGAGATTTCCTGAGGCCGATGGTTCCAGGAATCTGCTTGATCCAGGAGAGAAGCCTGCCCTGGGTAAATGCTGCCTGCCATGGCTGGTATCCCATGAGAACCAGGGTAACTAGACACCTTTGGGGGAGGAAAAAAGAAGGAAAATATAAAAAGAGTTATACTAATAAGACCTCTGCTTCCCCATAATTAACAGCTCTCCCCACCAAAGGAAGCAAATGTGAAATTATTCAATTTAAGCAGTCACTGAGAGGGAGGAGGTGGAGGGGAAAGCAGCATCAGAAGAAGAAATCAGAGTCAAAATACGACACAAAACCTCTTTTTAAAGTCTTTACAGATGCCCATCATAACACAACAAAAACTATTTGACAATATCTAAATATATAGAAATAGAACTTTTGAGGATAACTATAACTATTTGAGGATGCTTATCAAAACAGCAGCATTAGAAAGTACATTTTAACCTCTGCAGACAAGAAGATCAAAGTCTTCTGATACACAAAAATAAATCTGTTGATACATTTTTAAGAGCTACACCTGCAGAGCTCGTATTTAAGTTAACAGGAGCCTGCACACATCACTCTGCAGAGCCGTAGAAAAATGCACCCCTGGCGTATGCTACAAGCTTGAGTGACAGCATGTAATCAGTGTGTGAACTGTGAACGTCTCCACAGGAAAATCACAGTAGTGTTAATGAGTCTGAAGTACTCATTAAAACAATGGAAAACTCCTATATATAGACATAGCTTTGAACAAAACCAAGATGCCTAAAGTACTTTCATGACAAACTTTTGTTTTATTTAACAAAAAAATAGTTATTTATTCTTCAGCAGTGCTAGGAAGAAAATAAAATGTCAACAGAAAATAAAAACCTTTCAGAGAAACACCAGGGAGCAGGTACCAGTCAGCCCAAGGAAAGCCCACCAGTTAATGCCATTTCAGAAGGCAAGTAATTTCATAGCTTAGCACAAATGTTAAGATGAACACCACATTCCTTCAATAAATAAGAAAATATCTGATACGTTTCATTGTAATTTTAGGAATCTGAGCACCCTATCAGGTAAGAAAATATTTGCCATCTGGAGTAAACCTACCAGGCTCAGTTCGGGGTTTGTTCTGATATAAACCAAGAATCATTTAACATAACTGAATGAAAATAAACTGTGTTGGAAGTGAATCAACCCCACCAGCTGCAACCAAGTTATAAATCCCACATCTGAAAAAATAATTGCAGTGTTAAATGTAATACCTGGTAATGATTTGGCTGTACCATGTGCTGCGGACTTGGATAAAATCCCTCACTGGATCTCGGACTGGGGTAACCAGGTCTACTGGGCTGTAAATATGAAATATATAAAAATTGAAAAACCCTAGAATAAATATTCTAAAATGACTAACTTTTTTCTAAACAACTCAAATTAAGCTTTCTTCCATTCATGCTTGGAAATGGAAGCAGCTGACTTGTTTGCTAGCTCTGTCCAGAAATAATGCTTGCTCTGTGTATTCTTCATACATATTTAATTCCTCGCAATAAATGACCCGCTCTGTGCTGTTTAACTCTAGAGAGGACATCTACTAAGAACATAATTCTTAAATCAAGTTTCCAAGTGCAAATAAAGCATCGTTTCTAAGTTCACAATCTGCCATACATAGCAGTTTGCTCTTAATTTGTTGCTTTTATTACCATTCCCAAAGGTATTTTATTTCACTCAGACCACCAATCCAACTAGTTTGTTTAGCATTAATATTTACGTGTATTATTTTTAGGACTAAAGTTTGTTCTGATAATTAACTTCTGTGTAACCAATTCCCTGAAAAAGGAAGGTGTGCTTTTGATCGTATTTCGAACTCCATGGTCGCTGCATTATCCATGTTTCATTTTCCAACCCATTCTCAGCCAAGAAAACACAAGACAGAAGTAGCTCCTACTGGAAAGGACAGATAAAGAACAGCTTTTTGTCTGGGTATCTTGTTTTCTTGCTTATTTCTTAATGGGGAACAGTGCTGCTGGATGTTTCAGGAGGAGAAAAATCAACCCAAGAGGAGGAAAAACCCCTCCAAACCTCATCATTCTGCAATGGGCTCCTTCAGTCCTCAGGCAGTTAAAGGTGACCACATCACTTTAAGATTGCATAATTTCACCATCATTTTATCAAAAATGCCATTATAATTCTGTGCTAGGTTATTTTATGTGGTAGGTTTCTAATTGAAATCCCCGTGAGATACAAGTAATTTCATGGTACAAATTGTGATACCTCTGAATTATTTGAGAATGTGTAGGAGTTCAGAGCTATAAATAAAATGGAGTTTAAGACCCATTAAGACCTGAAACTTTTATAATGAATTGTTGGAAGAAAAAGATCAGTTAGAGAATAACTTAAGAAATACTTAAAATGTCGTATCTATGAAATTCAACTTGTTCAAACATCATTAGTATGCACATCCATATTTTACACAAAAATACTGTACAAAAAACCTAACCAACAACTGCATCACACATACAGTGAGGACACACCGACTCCCTCAGAAGAAGGGATTTAGTAGTAAAATTAATTTCAATCTTAACCCATCCTTTGTCAAGCGTTTCAGTTTAGACATCACACCCAAAGCACCAGCGATGATCATGTCTAATACGGTGTAGCTCATCTATTACATTCCTAAAAGGTGCTTATTCTTTCTGGATTAGCCCCAAAGCTTCAAGACGAAACAAATTCTTCAAACAAGGTTGTAATAAATAAGTAGCATATTGTTCTAATTTATGCTTCTGTTCATATATGCACCCAGTCCTGCCAGTTCATCTCAGATGACTGAGCAGGTTGAGGGACTGTTTGCTGGTTTTACTGAAAGCACCAATTCCCCTATTTCTTGGTTGCCATAAAGCTATCAAAATGCCAAACCAAGCTCAGAAATCTATCAGGGTATGGGGAAACAAACCGAAATAAAATAAAAATAAGTTGCCTATGACTCTTGGGCCATGTGCACAGCAGAAGGTGCCACATGGGTACTACTAAAACCATTATCAGCACCAGAGCTTGCGTATACAGGCACAGGAATTCATCACAGGACACCCATCACATTTGACATTACTGTGGTGACTGCAAAAAGAATGAAACTCTTGAAAATACAGGCTCGATCCTTCAAAATGCAAAATAACTCTGATGAGAAGCAGAGAAGTCACTGAGAGAAGAGAGCGCCCAGCAACTGGCGAGGTTACACTGCCACAGCTGCGCAGCACATCAGCAACATCCAAACAGGACATGTAATGAAACAAAATTCAGTGCAAACTACACCGTCCTTGGAAGCAAACCCCTAATTCTCTGTCCAGAATAATGGAAATGCAATTACTTGATTTCTGTCCTCTCACTGACGTGTTATAAATAAACCTCACACTGGTTTGACACCTCCCTGGCTAACGTTTTACAGGAGTGCTGCAAGAAAGAATTAAACAAAGAAAATGCCAGAAAGCAATTTTCTGGTAACTATGGAAGTCGTTTACAAGATAAACAAGAAAGAGAAAACTGATCGTGTGATATCATATAGCGTGGATCAGATCTAATGACAGCTCATGAAAAGCCGGGTCATTCCAGGCAAGTATTAGCAACGATGACAAAATTGGCCAGAATGCCGTTGTTTGAATGAACCCAAAGAAATAAATGGAATAAAAAGGGTTGGTTTTTTTGCTTGTTTTACAAACACAGATAATTTGCAGTCTTGGCTACCTTGGGAGGAGCTTCGTCCGATCCTCCCGAGTCCCAGGACACCGTGACTTGTCGCCTGGACTCCATTCTCATCCGTTCTTCTTGCTGCAGCTTCTCTTCCTCCAGTATTGTACTGAGAAAAACACAGGATATTTAAGTAAAACTCCAGTTCAGCGTCTAACAAACCTCTCCCCAGAGCTCTCTCATGTCTCAAAGTAATGAACATTATTCGACAAAGTGATTGAGCAACGAAACACAAACTTATATTGGTCAGGTTTCTGGAAACCAGTATCAGGAAGCAATACTGTGTAGGATTACCAGTGTGATTTTTAACAACAGAAGCTGCACCGAGTTTTGAGAAAGCTGCGGTTGATCTTGCACAATTTTTTTGCATGTTAAGAGTTCTTCTGATGTGTAATTACACAGAGAAATCTTCAAAGACAATAAATCAAGCACTTACTTGCATGAAAACTTATTTTTTCACATGAAAATATGCTCCTGAACTGCTGCAAAGGTTCAAAACAAAGTGCAAATGCTCTGCACTGAAACTCAACAGAGCTTCAGATCACTGGGATTTTTTTGTTCTTCTTTAAAACAAAGCACTCAAAAAGCATTTTAAACACGATGCCTTCAGCCTAACCAGAAACACATTCAGCAAAGTAATTCAGCAAACCAGAAATATCTGACGGTATTTGCTCAGCTTTTAAATATTCAGGTCAAAAGGCTGCATTTTCGACAAAGTACAAGACAGCAGTAAAAGGAGATTGCTACTTACCACTGCTCTGACCATTAAAAAGCCCGTTTGAAGTTCGCCGTGATACTGCTGCCCCCACAGCAGCCTCCTCCCAGCTCTGCTATGTGGCTTATTAATGTTGGATATTTGCCATTGGAAAACTACTCAAGAGCGAAGCTTTGAAACAGGGAGCTGCAAGCTACACGGAGATGCGAGCAGGGCAGATTATTTCCATACCGATACCCCCGCTGTAAAGATCATTCTCTAAAGGAGCTATTCCAGCTTCTTTATCACTCCACAGTTTCGAGAAACAAAGCTAAGTCCTGAGTTCATCATCACCTGCTGAGTCTCCTAAAAACCACCCCGAATTACTCATGCAGGGGATGAGATCAACTCCAGCCGCCCATTCCCATCCTGGAACCTGACTGCTTAGTTCAAGAAAAAATTCCCGCTTGGTTTGAGATGAGAACTTGGCTTTTCCTTACTCAGCCAAAATAAATTAAATCGATCTATGCCACTTCGAAAAAGCGGAGAAGCCGACTCATCTCGCTGCCGCGAAACCAAGTTTTTAAGTATCGCTGCAATTTCAATCCATCAGTGCTGAAATAACAACGTGGAACGAAAACAAAGTCGTGCAAAGTTATTTGCCAAAGCCATCCTGATGTAACTACCACGGGAACAGGGCTACAGCCCAGCGGAGGGAACTGAAAAGAGAAAATCTTTCTATTTCACCTCTCTCTTCCTTCAGAATAAGGAAAATGCAGTATTTCCCACTTGAACCCATGAAGAACTGGCTAAAACCCCTTAAAGTTAAGTTTCTTTAAAGTTAGGTCCCACTTCAGATATTCAGGACGGATTTTTATGCAGCATGAGAAATCAGCCCAACACGCATCCACAGCCACGAACCGTGACTACGATCGTTCAAGAAATACCTCAAAGTTTACAAAAGCCACAACAAAATAACACCAAGGAATCCATCCAGACATGAATATGAATGAAACAGCGATCATTAACAAAGCTGTCGCTCTGATCTGAGCAAAAGGATGGAACAGAGCCGGCTAAAAGCAGCTAAATTTAGAGATGGCTTCTTGACAATTTGGGAATGTGAGCAGAAACTGGCACAGGACAATCCTGGTTTTCCATAAAAAGGAGTGAAACCCCAATACCATTTTACCTGTGGTGTCATGGTATTCAATACAACGCCATGAACTTCAGCCACTTCACTGGAAACAACAAATTCCTACTGAAATTACTTGTTTTTTTATAACACAGCCTCAGTTTTTTGCCTTACAAATCCTAATTCATCCCATCCGGCTCCTTCTTCGCCTGTGCCATCAGGATCTCGCAATTCGCCTGATCCGAGGCTCATCGGCTGCAGCCAAATTTGTACTGGGATGCCCTTGAGCCCCTCTGCGAGGAAGATAAAATAGAAATGCCTCAAAAAACCCCAGAAAGAATAGAAATGACTCACAGAAACGTCTTTGTTTTCACCAAGGGGAGACCGATCCATAGACAGACGAAGCGCGTGCCAAGAGATATTTCTGACCTTTTCCCAGTGCAGCTGCTCAAGTGCTCTGAACAGTTTATTAGCATTTGGAGAAGGTCAGGAAAGTCAGATCCAGGCATATTTTCCCAAACTCCACATATTTTTAGCAGCAAAGAGGAACATGCAGAGAAGTATTTCTATTCATTCGTTTCCATAGCAGATCTTAAGGTAGCACAGACAAACGTAACCCATCTTCTTGGCTACGTTAATGCTGATGAAAAATCTCCACTATTGAAATGTTGTATAACTGATAAACTTGTCTCATTTACAAATAATCTTTTTTTACTGAAATTGGCCTGGGATATTGAAAAGGAAACCTTTACTGGGAGCTTCAGTGCAGGATTAAATAAAATACTAAATTAAATGTATCCTTCCAAGGATATACCAGCAGTACCCGTGTTTGCTGCTGTGGTGCTGTGGGAACCCTGGACAAACAGCTTTGTTGTTTCTCTCTGTGGTCCCCAGTCATCAGAACTGGACACAGATGAACATATTTTCACATACTGCTGTAATTTAAAAGCACTTTCATACGGATTATAGATTATTCCTAACGGTCACCATCAAAAAAAGGGTAGTGAAGCACTTTGCAGCCTCCATCACGTACATCAAGTGCGTGTCAAAACGTTTTTTTGGCCATGGAAGGAGCGGACTCACAACTGCCCTCACCTCTATCAGTTGTGCTTCTTTTATTTACGAGCAATATTTCAAGACCTACACCGAACACAGTCATAAAAGGACTCAACTCAAGTTCTGATCAGTTAAATACCTCACTGCTGTCACAAAAACAGACCTCAAAAGCATGAACAAGTCATTTTTCCTCTCTTTTTCCTTCTCTGTGAAAAGCTGTGCTGCTTCATCAGCGACCACCAGAGGGGCAGACTCAGGATTACCCATCAGCGATACAACTGCTCGTTATTTTGCTATTTTTAGTAGAGAGGAAGCATTATCAATAGGTACTTTGTGTAAAATTCTTCCAATGATGCAGTGAGAATTGCAATGAGATTATTTTAAAAGCCCAAAATTAATATCTAACTTAACCTTCAACGCAAAAACTGCTGATTTTAACAGAATAAGCAACCAAAGGGACATTCAGGGCACCACAACTCCTAAAAGCTCTTCTTGTAAGAAAGCCTGTGAGTGTAATGGTGCTACCATAGCAATATAGCAAAGAATAAATTACAGTTACTAATACACACATACATGAGACAGCGCGTGGTTACAGTGAGTGTACGACTGCAGTTACATGGTTACAGTAAGTGGCCAGGAGTCATTCTGAAGAGAAATGCTGCAAAAGAGATACTGCACGATTTTGGCTACGTTGAACACTTTGCAAAGGGCTTTTTGTATTATATACCATGTAATCCAAGATGAAAAATCTCTTCCACACAAAATCAGCAATGCAACGCATGCTTCCCCATTAAAATATCCCAGATTTTAACTCTGGCCCAGTCAGTGCCAGAATCGCAGGGTAGCACCTCACTTTCCTGACTTACTCTTATTTTACAACACCCCAGAATTGAAAAAGGGACCCCGGGATGTGAAGAGGAATTAAATTTGGAAACCCACAATGCACCCATTTGTTTCTGTGTTTGCTGTGAAGAGAAACTCACCCTTATCCACTTTGGAAAGATCAAATCCTATAAAATATCAGGCCTTGTTACTACCCTCATACCACTATATAAATTCTACAAAAACCAGCATCTTTCCATCGCATCAGCAGCTGCAAACAAAGTCTGAGCAAAGCAGATGTTACTACGAAATGGGAAAAGCGTCAAATAACAGAGAACACATGAAATGCCTGTGTGTGAAGTGCTATTTCAGATGCAGAAACGAAGGGTTTTTCCCCAAAGCCATGGATTTTTTCTGATTAGAACAGAGAGGAACTCTGCAGTGCTGTATCGCAGGCTTCAAGCAAACAACTGGGCTGCTCTCAGCCTGAAAAACCTCCTCTGGATCAGATCCAGAGCGAGCAGCAGCACCACCATGCAGAAAAGGCCACCAGGGAAATGGCTTTGTTTTTGCAAGTTCATGGGAATTTGATTTTTTAAACCCAATCTTTCCTGGCTGCCTGGGATTGCTTCATCGTCAGGGAATTGGGAACCTCTCTGAGAGGCCGGCTCTGTCCGTGTGCAGCACAAAGAAGCCCTAAGGACAGCACTGATGGACTTCCAGGAGATAAAAGTTATCAGTTTGGAGTGGCAGAAAAGTCTGCTTTGGTGAGAAGAGAGTAAAAACTGGATTTCAGGATTGCTGTGGCTTAGGTAGGATGGGACCCATGGAGGTCTTGAGTCCAATCTCCTGGCAAAGCTGGGCTCCATGCACAGCGAGGTCGGGTCGCTCGGAGCCTTTTCCAGCCAAGGTTTGAAAGTCTCCCAGCATGGAAACTCCACAGTCTCTGCAATGCTCACCCAGACATGCTTGGAAACATCTTGATAGGAAAGAATGAGAATTTGCCTCGCTCCAAGTCGTAACCATTGGTTTTCACCCTCTGGCTGTGCATTGCTGAGGAGAGCCAGGCCCTTGGCCACTGCTTTATCCTGAATATCTGGCGATACCGTTTCACATCTTTCTCATTTTTCCCCTCTCTCGCTCCAGACTCCTGGTGTTAAAATATTGCTGCAGTCACTCTCTGAGTACAGCCTGCATTTATTTTGCCCCCTAACACAATTACTTTTACTCTGGATTTACTCATCCTCTTCCCTTGCCGGTGAGATACACACCACAGACATCTTCCTAGGCACATTTTTTTAGGCCTTCCTTCTCCTCCGTGCCAGTCAGCTCTAAGTTATCAGCACAGTCTGACAGCAAATTAAAAAGAACCCTATTCTTCCAGAGCCAAAGATAAGAAGTGAATTGCCAGCTTCCACCTATTACCCAAATCACACAACCACGTCCTATATTTTCCTTGCAATCCCTACCAAGCTTTCCTGTTCCTTCCCTTGCAGAGCTCTGTGAGAAGGGTTATGTCTTCCTCTCGTTATGTAAACTATTGGTCTACAGGGGAGCTCGTGGAGTAACAGAAGGCAGAACCATATGATATTTTTAAAAACAGGAAAAAACTTACAGGTAGCTAAGTTATCCATCCAGCAACTCTGAAACAGCATCGTAATTACATTTAAATTGTCCCTTTTTTAAGCCATCTACGAATTATCTTGTACCACGAGCATCCAGTGGCAGCACAAAATGATATTCTCAAAAGAAAAGATGCCACAAAGCAAACTTCTGAACTAGACATAAGATAAAACTGAAGGATTTGGCAATGAATTACAACAAATCCAGGAGTGAATTTACAGCGTACAATATCTACATATGACTTGAAGCACATATTGACGTAGGCAAATCAGATACCGAGCACTCCTAAAAGCCCGAAGGTGATCATAAATGTGCCCACACAATATCTCAGTGATGTCTCAGAGTTTAAACATCACTCCCATTAGTGGCTGTCGAAATGGAGATATAAATTACTGCAGAATAAACTAGGGTGTGAATTTAGACCGGTCTCTAAAGTGTGTGCTCACATTTCTTCCAAGATAAACACAAGGTCGTCTGTATCCTGGTTTACAAAGGGGAAAGGAATTTCTAGTTAGTGACTAATGCATTTATTGCAGGCTCCACAATTGAGCGGACACAGGGCAACCAGAGTGCTACATTCGTTATGAAAATAACTTTAAAAATCACCTGATGGTTCATTTCCTTAAGGACACATTTCTAGCTCAAAACTGTACATTGAATGATTGACTATGTAATAAATAAATTCTTTCTCTACTCCTCTCCTCAAGGATTGTAGAGTACATAGCTAAATTTATAACAAATTGCTAGTAAAACCTAGAGTTTTTTCTTAGGAGAGAAAGCAGGTGATTTGTATTTCCAGTTATTTGAAATCTAGTCTAATTTTCTCCAACAGATAAAGTCCAGATTTCCAAGAAAATACCAACAACCTGGCCTCCTGAAGATAACACTTAATAACATTATGTCTTGCATTTTCCACGGAAAGAAAATACTGTAACAGAACAGACAGGGAAAATAAATATTGCTGAACACGGAAATGACCTTTCAGAAGCATAACCCTACCTGAGTTGTGCTTTAAGTTCAGTAAACCTGGGTCGTCTGCTGGGGTCGTACGCCCAGCACTTGGTCATAAGGCTGTAGAGGGTAGGAGGGCAGTTTGGAGGCATTGGGAGCCGCTCACCGTTCTCAATTCGCCCAATCACATCATTGTTCTTCACTCCCTGGAAGGGCTTTACCCCATGCATTAGGATCTCCCACATGCACACACCTGAGAAACACACACAAAAAAACATTTTCCCCAGTGTGAACAAACAATAAAACCTGTTAAAATAGAAAAAAAAAACATTTCTTTTTTACAGCCTGACAATGTAATTTCTGCTGAAACACAGCTAGGGATCAGTTCTGACTTACCGGCTGGCAGCAGAGAGGGGTGGTGTGCAGTGAGATGACGGATGCAGTATAAACCTGAACTACTTATGAGGAAGCATGACCCACAGCTGCCTCACAGCAGCCTGACTCCACATTTAGCTGCCGTTTACCTATTGGAAACCAGCACGGTGTTGCTCATATTCAAATCTGCTTTTTCAGGAGGCAGCATGAGCTGTGTTTGCTTTCCCCTTTGACTCCTTGCAACTGGCTTGTTTCGACACGTCGAGCGCATTTTCACTCGGAGGGTGTTTTAACGCTGGCTTTGATCCAAGTCTTTTTTGTGCTGAAACTATGTAATAAAACAGTTTCTGTTGAAACTATGTCAGGAGCACAAAGGGAAAAATGCTCTGTCAGTTTAGGACTGGCCAGAATGTTCCATAGACCTCAGGTTTCAACTCTGACTGCACTAGAGTTTTCTTCAAACTACTATTAACCTGCTAAAATTCACTTAAAACCACTAAACTTTTATTTTAACAGGTGAAGGGTGAACCCTTATTTGTCTTATTTTTAAGGGTGAACCCTTATTTGGCTGTTCTGCTCTTCTTTCACATCATCTTTGATCCTTTACACAGCCTGTCCAGTTGGATCAGTTGGAGCTCAGGTGATCTGATTCATATAAAACCTTGCATATTTAGGAAAAAAAGATCCAGGCTTCAGGATACTCCCATTTACCCTTATTTTTACTCCGTTTCTGGTCATATTTTGTAAGTCAACAGGAGCTATGAAACACAAATTAAGTGGTAATTTAGCATTAAAGATTGGAAACAGGACAGCACATAGGCTGATCTCAGTTTGACATAGGCTGATCTATGCATTAAACAAGGAAGCAGGCATGTCACCATAAAAGTGGAAATATAAAATAGAAACAGCAAATAATGGTGTAATGAAAATAAATTAGAGGGAAAAACAGTAAAAAAATAATCTCTGTAATGACTGTGACCTAATTTCCTCATACTTTAATTTCTGTTTGCTTCTTAGTAGAGGCGAAAAGGCCCATGAAACCCTTGACTTACTGAGTAGAGAATGGAAAGAAAAATACAGAGATTAAAATATGCTGGAAGAAAGTGGATTTTCAAAAAGTACAGTAAAAACAGTGCCAAATATCTGGAAATTACCCATTTACAGTAGTGACAATGAAACATCCACCACTGGTACTCACTTACCAAACATCCACACATCACTCGCTGAGGTAAACCGTCGGAAGTTGATTGACTCTGGAGCCATCCATTTGATGGGCAGTTTTCCTTTGGAAGCTACAAGGAAGGCAACACAAGGCAGTATTTCATTTATTATTTTATTTTATTTTATTTATTATTTTAT